AAAATGTCCACTTCTTCATACCAGCTTTGCAAAACTGCTAGCTTCTAAAAACCTTAAGTGTTCAAATGTAAACAAATGTATTGTGAGTCCATATATATATATATATACATACATATTAACATTCATGTGTCCATTAAACAAATAACCTACACCACCTCCACCTAAAGAGCTGCAGTTGTATCCTCTTGTGCACCAATGACACAGAAGGTTTCACCATGTTATTAAAGTGCTCACTCACCAGAACAAGTTGTCCTCTTGTTATAAAAAAAAGTCACTGTGTGCCCTAGGTTAAATCTCTCCTTCCTCCTGCTCCACAGATGGTCTGGACCTCCAAGAACATCAAAAAGGTGTCATGGTTCACATGTTATTCTCCCCCATATTATAAAGCCAAATGCACATAAAACAAAGATTTGAGTTCCAATTACTGGAAGTGCAGCCCATGTGTGACATCACTGGAACTGGATTTACAGCTGAAAACTCCATCTCTATACATTTCTCCAATCTGGCATCCTCCTGAGGAGTAATTGTAATGAACACCGGCTCTCGTGAGAATGGAGCGGCGACGTTCCATTGCAGCATATCAGACTGTCTGTGGTGCCTTTTATCGACACTTTTAAATGTGAGTGATGCTTTTATTATGTGCTGATTTTGCAATTAATAAATACTACAGTATAACGTTTTTTTTTTTTTACACATGTACATTTGGCTTTATAATATGGGGGAGAATAACATGTAGACCATGAGACCTTTTTTGTTGTTCTTGGGGGACCAGACCATCTGTGGAAGAAGAAAAGAGATGAGCTTAAACCCAAGGCGCACAGTAACTTTTGTATAACAAAATGGTCAGCTTATTCTGGTGAGTGAGCACTTTAATCACATTGTGAACACTTCTTTGTCATTGATGTACAAGAGGACACAGTTGCAGCTGGGCACTTCAGGTGGATGTATTTGTTCAGTGGATATATAGATGTTTAATATATATATATATATATATATATATAAAATATATAGCTTCACAATGTATTTGGACTTTTTGGATGTTGGTTCAGTTTTTGCACTCTTAAAGGGGCAGCTACACAATTTAATTAGGTACATTGGCATAGCGCAAAGGTTTACTATTGGTTTTACTAAAACTGCTGGCTTTGCTGCTGCTCCTATTCCAGCTTTGGAATTAGCCTCCTTCCATGATATTACGATATATGCTGGTAGCCAGCTGCCATATTTTTTCCCTGAAGGTCATCTGTGCACTTTACCATGATGTAGAATATAATGTGTGTATCACTGGACATTGCTTTCTATGGCATGGTACATATGATCACAGACAGGTAGTCAAGTCAGCATGGGTGTGGATGATACAGTTCATTCAATGAACATTAAGTCAGCCTTCTTGCAGCTGGGAGAAATGTAGGATAGGGCACACTGCTGTAGCTGGTGGAGCTACCATATGTCTTGTTTGATGGTGACAGTGCAGTCATCTGTCCCCCCTCCACCTCACTGGCCTCATTCTTTGACTATTTGAAACCAACATTCCCTCCCAAGCTCTGCAGAGTATATGCACCATCTGATGCAACAGGAGTCACAGTCAGCCAGAGTTGCTGGCTCAGGCAAAGAGATGATAGAAGAGGGTTAGGGAATGTGTTTCTGGAGTTTTTGCATACATTATGTTTTGAAATTTATGAAACTTCTAAAACAATGCAGTGTGATGATGCAAAAACTAAAGCTCACAAACTATACTATTAAACTGTTTTGCCTCTGGCCAATTTGTGTAGTTGAGGGATTTAGCTTTGTGTAGATAGGCCATGGCTGAGAATAAATTGGGGAGATTAATAGCACTAAAATACAAAATGATAAAAAAAAACTACATTTTATATAATAAAATATGGCATTAATTTGTAATATCATTCAGTTGTGGTTTAAATCTACTATAGGCAATTGCAGCCAATGTACAGAATTCCTTTAATTTAGATATGACTTTTTGAATCTGCTTAGTATTCAATGTTTTCTCTAAAAAAAAAATTTGAAGCATGGTATATGCTTGGACCAGTGCGACTATGTATTTACATACCTGGCCGATGCCCCTGAAAGCTAATCCAGTGAGCTCCACTTACTTCCAAGTCCCATGCTGAACAGCTAGTCTTGTGCATTTTTAATACAAGAGGTCAGTCATTTAGTATCGGTGCCATTCTGAAAATGTGGTGCATTCCCTTAACAAATGAAAAGTGTTCTCTGATTGGACGAGGTGGAGAGGTGGGCAGTGATTTTACACTCCACCACATCAAATCACAGAATGCGAACAGGAGAGTGGAAATTTCAAGGCCTGCTATAACTTTCACACAAACCAAATAATATACATGTATTGGGATTTTTTTTTTACCAAAGACCTGTAGCGGAATACATTTTGGCTTAAATTTATGACTAAATTTGAGTTTATTGAATGTTTTTTTATAACAGATAGTAGAAAGTATCTCTTTATTCAAAATTTTCGATCTTTTATTGTTTATATCTCAAAAAATAAAAAAACCCAGCAGTGATTAAATATCACCAAAAGAAAGCTCTATTTGTGTGAAAAACTACATACATTTCATTTGGGTACAGTGTTGCATGACTGCTCAATTACCAGTGGAATAAACGCAGTGCTGAATAGCAAAAAAATGGCATAGTCAGGAGCTTTTTGGGGCTGAAGTGGTTAAGAATATTTAAGAAGATAATATTGTAAGTAAATGGTGAAAGCCAATCATTTAAAAATTAGTGTAAGCACAAAGTGCACCTACATCATTGCCCTACACAACCAGACTCATGTACAAGAGTTTTTTTCTCCTCCATTCTGCCATGATTATTGTGAGCTGAACATAATTGTGCTTTCCACATACTGTATGAATGTCTTCACTGTATTGTGCATTAGGTATCAGATGGTGGGCACTGTACTGTGTCCATGTATCTAAGATTTTCTGTTCTAGCATGAAAACAGACAATGCCAGTATATACTAGTTTACTCCAAAGTTTGCAGAATACTGTTGGAGAGACATTCACCAGCATATCCAATAAAGGAAGTATAGAAGCTGGGACCTAAATTTTACACACGGGGGAAACAGTATCAGTGCTTGAATAACTTTTTTTCTCTTAAAGTGTATGGATACTGGATTTAAAGCGGTAGTAAATTACAAAGAAGAAAAAAAAAAGTCCCTGCTAGATAATGTCATAATGTGCTAGTAGGCATCGCATACTAGTACATTATGTAAAACTTACCTTAAAATGAAGCCTTCCAGGGGTGCGCTGTCACTGCTGCAGAGGCTCCCATCTTCACCCGGTCTTCCTTCCAGGTTTGCGAGCTTCGGCCATCTGTCAGACCAGGCCACGTTGACAACACTCCCATGCGAGTCCTGGGCCACAGCACACAGCTCTGAATGAACAGCAGGGGTATGCCGTTCCTTCAGAGCGCATGTGCTGGCTTTAGAAAAGAGAGAATATCTCCTGAACGGTGAACGTTTAGGAGATATTCATTCTATCTACAGGTAAGCTTTATTATAAGCTCACCTGTAGGTAAAATGGAAAAAAAAAAACGAGCTTACTACCACTTTAAATATCGATCCATACAAAAAAAAAGTACAGTATAGTCAGTCCAGAAGTGACTACTCTTATAGATCACTTTATTTAACCACTTGCCTACCAGGCACTTATACCCCCTTCCTTACCAGGCCAATTTTCAGCTTTCAGCGCGCTGCCGCACTTTGATTGACAATTGCGCGGTCATGCAACATTATACCCATATGAAATTTTGATCATTTTTTTCTCACAAATAGAGCTTTCTTTTGGTGGTATTTAATCGCCACTGGGCGCTTTACTTTTTGCGCTATAAATTAAAAAACGTGCAAAAAATTTGAAAAAAAAAAAAAAAGTTTATTTGTTTCTTTTATAAAATTTTTCAAACAGGTATTTTTTCTCCTTCACTGATTTGCATTGATGAGGCGGCACTGATGGGCACTGATAGGCGGCACTGATGGGCACTGATAGGCAGCACTAAAGGGCACTGATAGGCAGTACTAATGAGGTGGCACGGATAGGCGGCACTGATAGACAGCACTAATTAGGGGTCACGGATAGGCGGCACTGATATGCAGCACTGATAGGGCGGCACTGATAGGTGACACTGATGATGGGTACTGATAGACGGCACTGACTGGCATCACTTCTGGACACTGACTGGCGGCACTGACTGGCACAACCCCTGGGCACTGACTGGTGGCACTGACTGGCAGCACTGCTGGGCTGCACTGGTGGGTGGCACTGGTGGGCAGCACTGGTGGGTGGGCACAGGTGGGTGGCACTGGTGGGCACAGGTGGGTGGCACTGGTGGGCACAGGTGGGTGGCACTGCTGGGCACATGTAGGTGGCACTTCTGGGCACAGGTAGGTGGCACTGCAGAGTGGCACAGGTGGGTGCACTGCTGGGCACAGGTGGGGGCACTGCTGGGCACAGGTGGGGGCACTGCTGGGAACGGGTGGGCGGGGCTAGTGGGCGCACTGCTGGGCGGAACTTGCGGGTGTCACTGCTGGGCACCGATCATCAGGGCACTGATCATCAGTGCCCTGATGATCGGTGCCGATCCCCGCTCTGACAACTGCCGGTTCTCGGCAGTACTTTCCTCACGATCTGACAGCGTGAGGAAAGTGCAGCCGAGAACCGGCACTTGCATTTCCCTGTGATCAGCGTGTCATTGGACACCGCTGATCACGTGGTAAAAGGCCGGTGGGATCGGCCTTTCACCACATCACGTGATCAGCTGTGTCCGTAGGACACAGCGATCACGGAGATCGCCGGGTGCGCGCCCCCTGGGGCGCGCAGGAGAGCGCGTTCTGGGAGGACGTCATATGACGTCCACTCAGAACTGGCCGGCCGCGGTGAAGCCGTCATTCGGCTATGCGCGTTCGGCAAGAGGTTAATCTTCTCCGGGCAACAACATGATACCGCCAGTGCTTACAGCTGTTTCAATTCTGTTTGAATATTAGACATGTGCAGGGGCGGACTGACCATTTGGAAACTTGGGCACTGCCCGAGGGCCCGGGGTCAGTAGGGGGCCCCATGAGATGCCCCCTGGTACCTTTTTCATAGGCTTTTTTGAGTTTGGGCAAGGACACAGAGGCCCCATGATCCCCTATTGCCTGGGGGCCCCATGAGTTGTCAGTCCGCCCATGGACATGTGCGATTAGTTTCATTACAATAGTGATGAATTTAAATTAATCCGAAATAAATTATAAGGAAACAACGAGTTCATTCATATTTATTCAGTTCATTCGGTTGACATGACGTGATAGTTTGGGCGTTTTGTTAATGTTTGAAGCATCCAAAATAAATATAACGATGTAACGAATGATACAAATTGATTTGGATCTATTTTGTTTTTACTTTGCATTAACATTTTTCATAAAAAATGCACTACATATGAAATGCAAACATATAACAATAAATACAGTAAGATATAAAAGTGAAATAAGATGATTCCTACATATTGTGTTTGACTTGGATGGAGGTGGATCCATCAGAATCTTCAAATCATAACATAACAAATGAATCTGAAATTAATTTCATTCCATTCGTTACTTTCATTATTCCAGTCAACATCACTTATTCCATTTTTCTTTGTCGATTGGACTAGCAGGGATGAGTATAAGTGATTTCCTGAAATAAATTAACACATTAAAACAAATATAGCCAATCTTCTAAAATAACTTCCAAAAATACAAATCGATTCGAAACAATGAATACTGTATTTGAAACAAATCCAAATATCTGAAACAAATTCCGAAAACAAATCATTATAACATAACGAATATGACAAATTGAAATGACTTAATGATTGAATCAGAAATTAAACTAATTTTTTCGGAGTGCACATCTGTAAAAACAATTCCATTAACAAACATTTATAAACATGTAAACAATTATCGATAAATATTACATTCTGGAAACAATATAAAAAACTAAATAATTAATTTCTGTTAATTATTTGTAACATACCTAGATCATTTAACTGAGAGAACCAGGATGCTCCCCTATTGTTTTAAGTAATTCTACTTTATGTCATAAGGCTTCCTCCCAGAAAAGGATGGCTCCCATACCCAAAAAAAATGTGAACAGATTTGGATAGCTGACACATTTCTCTTGTTTTTATTCAGTTAATTGAAGGATATCTATAGGCACATGCACTTTCATTTCATAACATAAGCATTGTATTAGCAATACAAGTAATCTACTTACATGCTGTGGTGCTTCATGTCTACCTGCTATCTCTTTCACAACTTCTTTACTGTGACAATGGCACAAAAAACCCGATGAGGCTTGTCAAGGTGTTGTCGGGCATATTGTAACTGTGCTTTTTTGTGCCATTGACAAAATAAATCCTTCTTTCTGGCAACCGGAACATGTAGCTCATTTTTGTATTATTGTATTGTGCTCTCTAAAAACAACCACACCATCTTTTTACAAAGCAGCCTGTATTTCTCTTGAGGTTACCTGTGGGTTTTTCTTTGTATCTTGAACAATTCCTCTGGCAGTTGTGGCTGCAATCTTTTTTCGGTCTACCTGAACTTGGCCTGCTATCAAGAGATCCCCAAATTTTCCACTTGTTAATAAGTGATTGACTGACATATTCAAGGCTTTGGATATCTTTTTATATCCTTTTCCATCTTTACAAAGTATCATTGCCTTGTTATGCAGGTCTTTTGACAGTTCTTTTCTAATCCTCATGTCTCAGTATCTAGCCTGTTCAGTGCGTCCACATGATAGTTAACAAAATCTTTGACTAATTATAATTAAATTTATGTGTTTGTACCAAGGTCAAACCTTCCAGCGTATGTAGACTTTTGCTCAGGGCCATTTGGGTGGTTTCTGTTATCATTATGATATAAAATGGAGCCAAACAACTATGTGATAATAAATGGCTTCATATGACCACTATCCTTATTGGCTTACCCAACCCTTTGCCCCTCCCTGCTGCTAGATTGGTCCCTGCAATACACTGGTCTGAGGTCCTATTATCATCAAGACCAGTGCACTGAACATAGCCCAGCACTGAATGTGAGGAGGCTGAGGGAAGGCCACCACCGGAGTCTGCTGGAGGAGGGTTTCTCCTCTCCCCTAGACAAGATGAGCAGTTAACCCTTGCAGGGCTGACACAGCCCCACTGCATGAGACCATTTTATAGTTTCCCAAGAGCTGGGTTTTAAGAATGCAGAAAGTGCAGAAAAATACCTGTTGATCCTGACACAAATCCAGTGAGCTCCTAAATTCTTGTAGTGAGCTGACATTATTGTCTCTGTTGCACTGTAATCCTTAATAGTGCTTGAGATGGGTGTCACTTTGGGTGGGGGGCCCATGGAACACAGCTCACTTTGGAGAGGTGGGGAGACCCCTGTCTCAGCTCCCCATATCCCTATTATGTGTAAGTCACCATGTGCCTGTTAGGGGTACAGCGTGATCTGTCCTGTTTGGGGTGGGGGGTTGTTGATTGTTTAATGCCATGTGGTTGCATCCCATTGTTCTATTTTTTTTGTCTGGCTTGGGAGCAAACTATTATGGGATGTATGTGTTTGTGTATTGGCTTGGTGGGGGGTGTTTCCAGGAGCCCTCCTCCCCAATGGAACTGTCTGCTGGAATGAAGTTTGAATACCTGTGTGTCTCTTGTTACTAAATGTGGATTGCCCTTCCCTGTGACATCATGCATGGAGGGGGGGATTGTTCCCTTGAATTAATATATCTTGTATCTGTGTTAAAATAAAGTAGTCTATTTCCTGATTTATTTAAAGACTGGTGTTCTGTAGTCTCGTATGGTCATCGGTGGTGTCCGTGGTCGGTGTTCGGATGGGGAAGCGGTATTATAACGGAAATACCCAAGCGCAGACTGGGACGGTTCCGTTACATTGGTGGAAAGTGGTGGGATTGTGCTTCCTGGCCGTGAACACGTCCAAACCACCACCGGGATTCAAGATCAGGAAAGTTAATGTCTGTCACCCCAGTGGAGATATGGACCTGGCATCAGAGTTCCCGGGGCTGCTGCGGATCGTTCTTGCAACATACCCCAGGACTGTGTCTGCGGATCATTACCTGGAGCTCAGGCAGCAGATTTGAGTGGTGCTTGGAGTGGAGCCCTCCAGGTTGCTGGTATGTACATGGGCAAATGCTATCCAACCCCAGGGGAATGGGCCAGGGACCATCGGAAGTTACGGATGCCATTCCTGGGAGAGCGACCCCAGGAGCAATGGGTGACGGAGTTGGACAGGCTGGTCCAGCAGGAGATAAAGCTGGACAACCAATATCGGGCTCTGCAATTGTATGCAGAGCAGAAATATTTAGGGGTGTCAATAGAATGCTTGTAGCAGGCGCAGCACCCTTTGGTGCCTAGTGCGCTGTGGCATTAGAAAAATTTTGCAATTGCTGTTTCTTTATTTGATTAGACTGACTTTACTCTGTAATTCCTCCAATGCCGCTCTATGGATGCAGTAGGTTTAAAGAGCACACCGAATACTGCCCAGCACTGGTAACATCTTCTGGGTTCCACGGACAGGAGATGGTGAATCCCTATCCCCAGACACCAGTTCCAGAGACTGGGGATTTGATTCACTTTTCTGTTGAGGAGGAAGAAGCCGGTGCGCCTCCAGCAGAAGAGCTGTTATCATGGCATGGCATTGTTGACCTCTGCCCCACACCTGCGGTAGTTTCAGAGGCCCAGGGGGAGAAGGGAGAGGAGGTTGTTGTCCTCCCTCCCCCACAGTCAGCCAGAGTGGAGGAAACTGTCTTCCCTCCCAAGCCAGGATCTGTGCCCCAGGAGGACAGTGACAGAGGAATGTCATCCCAGCAGCAGATCCACTGTCTGGGAGTGGAGGAAGCCGGCCTCACCCCCCCCCCCCACGGTTAGCCAGAACAGATGTGGGGTCCCCAGCAGAAGTGCTGGCAACAGGACAGTGCGCCGCTGGCCTCTGCCTAGCAACTACAGTCACCACCTGGATACCCCAGGGATGCTGGGCAGTCGGCCCAGATCCCCAACAGCATGATGGAGTCAGCCCAGCCACCCTGTCTTCTCTCCAGTGGCTGAGAGGACTTCAGGGAGAAGGACCAGCCTGTATTTCTCCCCAGCGGCGGGTATGCTCTACGAGAGAGGCAGAAGTTGACTGGATGAGTAATGCTATGTTTGGGACAATTTGTTTGGGGAACTGTGTGGGTGCTGGCATTGGGGGACTGGAAGTACAGACTAACTTCGGAGTCCACCCGTCTGGGATTTCCTCCTGCGTTAGTCTCCTGCCAAAAGAGGTGATATGTGATGGGAGTCACTTTGGGTGAGGGCCCATGGAACACAGCTCACTTTGGGAGAGGTGGGTAGACCCCTGTCTCAGCTCCCCATATCCCTATTATGTGTAAGTCACCCTGTGCCTGTTAGGGGTACAGGGTGATTTGTCCTGTTTGGGGTGGGGGGGTTGTTGATTGTTTAATGCCATGTGGTTGCATCCCATTGTTCTATTTTTTTGTCTGGCTTGGGAGTAAACTATTATGGGATGTATGTGTTTATGTATTGGCTTGGTGGGGGTGTTTCCAGCAGCCCTCCCCCTAATGGGATTGTCTGCTGGAGTGTAGTTTGAATATCTGTGTGTCTCTTGTTACTAAATGTGGATTGCCCCTCCCTGTGACATCATGCAGGGAGGAGGGTATTGTTCCCTTGAATGTATACATTTTGTATCTGTGTTAAAATAACGTAGTCTATATCCTGATTTATTTCAAGACTGGTGTTCTCTAGTCTCGTATGGTCATTGGTGGTGTCCGTGGTCGGTGTTCGGACGGGGAAGCGATATTATAACGGAAATACCCAATCGCAGACTGGGACAGTTCTATTACAGTGCTGTCAGCATTGTTTTGAGTTTTCTGCTGGACTTCAGTACATCCACTTTCCCCTTGTGGAGATAAAGAGAGGGGAGATGTTTTGTAGTTCAGCAGGGGAGAAATTCAATTCCAATAGCCTGGTCACTTTAAAGAAAATACGTGTTACGTTTTAAGAAGTTGAGCAATTCCTGAAAGTAATTGTGCCATGCCTTATCTAACTAATTGGCCTTTTTGTTGCACTCAAGTTCCCTTTATCCATTTTTTGCATACATATTCCTGAGTGGTACCACCATCTTAAAAACCATTATCACTGTTATCTCTTTTTAGTCT